CAGCGAAGGAGAGCGGGGCGGGGGTGGAACACAACTGCACCGACCGTCTCTGAGAGTTTCTTTGTTCTTGCTCTTGATTGTCACTGAGAACGCTTGACCCTGTCTGATCCAGAAGATGAGTGCTGTAGGGTCCTGTTGGTAAGAAAGCACTGATCTGTTTTGCATTGAGGTAAAAAGAACTTTAATCCACAACAAGATTGTGTCCATTGGGCAGAACCCCGGACCCTTCATCTTATGCTAAGTTAAGTTAAGTCAGTAGTACCTCGCCCGGGGACTTGCTTAGTAGGCGTGTTATTTGAAAGGTTGGAGCAGAAAATTGGTCCCACAAGGTCCATGAATCGGACTCAGCTTGGAATAATCTCACAGTTTATTACACGGTTAAAGATGCTTTGTTACGATAGCTCACCTACATGCTCTTTGCTTATGCTCAGCTTCTGCCTCGTGTGTTACCATGACTACGCTGTACTTTATTTACTGTTTGGATCTGCGTCAATGTGACCCTATGATTGGCGACTAATTTCTGACAAGCTGGAAATCTTTGGAGCACTTCCCAGTTGGCCATGTTAGGAGAGTTTGTTCACATCTCCCAAGTGTCTGTCCCACTCAACAAAACGTCAAAAGTGAACTGAATACTGTTATGGTCCACACTGGATACAAGGACATGTGGACCACTACAATGCCCCCAGCAAAACTAAACACAACCACTTCAGCGTCCCTGTTTGTGTGGACATGTATTATGTATGTGAACTGTAAAGAAGCTACACTTTGAATGTTAAGTAAAAACTGCTGTATGTGATCTTCGTCATAGGTCACTGTGAGTTCATCTATAAGTGAACAACATCTGTCACACTGCTGTCTGAGGGCACGGAGAGGCCGTCTTTGTCCAAGAGGAGACCTTCAGTGTGATCAGGAGGTGCGCTGGCGCTGTGTGGGTGGATGTTCTGCAGTACACTTCATAGATTTATGCACCGTATAGACAGTGCAATATGTGAACGATTCATTCTAAAGTTCAATGTGGGATTGTGTGTCAGGGTCAAGTGTGTTGATACAGACCATCTGACCAATCAAGTCATACACTGTCCTTGAGCAAGGCACTTCACCAACCCTGCCTTTTGAGAGCTCACTTATAACCTTTAATGTCAGGTGAACAAACCCTCAACAAAGTTCATGTACTTGTAGCTGCTTGTAGTTGACACATTTCCACAAACAGCTGTCAGTGCTGGTTAAATATATCTCCCAAATCTTGATTAATAAATTAAATATGAATGAAGACAAAGACGTAAATCAATCCACATGAACACAGCTAAAAGGTCATTCTATGATATTTGACAGCAGTGTGATGGTAGCTCCTCAGGAGAGTTCCAGTAAAGTCAGCCAAGAAAGCGATCAGTGCTTTTTGGCAGAGAAGCTCTTTTGCATTGTATCTGTTATTTTGTAATACACTCAAATGAGCGCATGAACAAAGGTCTCTCTTTCCACTTGTATTTTATGTTATTTTACAACAAGCAAAGTGATGGAAGTAATAAGAAGAACATTAAGTTTTATTAAGTACAATCCTATTTATGTTCTTCTGGTTCAGTAATTCCAGCTGCCTGTGATCACATGACAATGTAGTGATTGTGCTGATGCCAGCCCCTGAGACTTAAGGTTACAGCAGGAAGAGCATCAGGCTTAAACGTTTGAAGTCAAATCAGTGTCAGTCAGAGCACAGTGAAAGTAAATGAGCTTTCAGATGTAAAAAGAGAGATGACAATCTTCTTTCTTCTGTTTTATTACTTGTGTGCAGAGCTTTGAGTGGACAAACTCCCTTTGACTGTGAATGAGCAGAAGCCTGTCATCAGCCTCCCTCCCGGAGGTACTAGATCATGTGTTATTGAGAACTGTCACGTTGGATCCTCTGTGGTTAATCAGGACATCTCTGCACTTCTCCACAACAGGACAAGAACATGCTTCCTTCTGTCCTACAGTTTGACTCATGTCATCAGAGTCTCCACTCTCTGCGTGCTAGACTCACAGTGATAGATGTGCTGGAGAGACCAGGCTCCAGTCCACTTTCACCCACTCCTCTGGGACTTTTTAATCAGCAGCTCCGCCACAAGACACAGTGCAGCTGGGCATCATCCGGACTTTGACAAAGAATAAATCATATTCATGTCCCTGTTCGCTTTGTTTTGTGGACTCATTTATACACAAGCTTTCATGTCCATTATTATGAGTGAAACCATTTCATTTGAGAGCGTTATCTGCACTTCATTTCCTGTTATCTTACCCTGTCTTTACTTTTTGAAATAAAAATATTTTCACCAGAGGATAACTCACCCTTGGGCTACCTAAAGCTGAAATAAAATGTAGATTAAATTAATGTGCTTTGTCGTAATAAATACATTGTAATAGAAACCATCAGGAGAAAATGAAGCACTTTTTATTTAATATCCAAATGGTCCAAATGGTTTCCTGAAGTTGACAATAAAAACTGATCTTGATCTTAAATTAATTAAGAAAATGTTTAAACAATAACTTATATAGCCAATAGGAATTACATCATCATCTTATATCTTCGCAGCCTCATAGTGTAACTGACTCAGTCATGTTTTGGCCAAAAGGAGTTTTCTGTCTCTTTTTATCAACACACTGCTGCATCTGTAGGTGTCACTGTTATTCTAGGAGACAATCTGTGACTCAAAGGTCCTACATTATGCAAAATAGACTCTTATGAGGTTTAAATCATGCTGTTACTTCATGAAAAACATACCTGGAGTTTTAATTCATTCGCACATGTTTGAATAACTGTGTATTATTAGTCTGTCTACATCTGAAGCGGTAGTTTTCAAGATAACAGCGAAGACTGAAATTATCCAAATGATTCTATTGAAGGTGCATGGAGTTTAAAAGCACAGTGGAGCTCTTCCTGTATTACCACATCACATCAGAAGGTGGAGTGTTTTCTGTTTGAAAGAAGAACTCAGCCTAAATCTGCAGAGTTTGCATATTAAATGTGTGTGAATGAAACAAAACACATCTCCAAGTCTGTCTGTGATGAGCCATTTGGGCCATTTAATAATAGTTAAATAGATATATAATAGTTTTAATAGATAAAATGTTTTTCATTCACACACACACAAAATAATCAATATTCCTCTTCACATTTTTTGATGGACACAAAGCATAGTGGCTCTTTAGTTCAACCAATTCAGTCAAAGCTATAACATAAGAACCTATTGAAGTGAACATACCATTGTGAATCACAATACTCGTGTCAGGATCACTTGTGAAGAGGAAACACATTGAAAGAAACTACTGTCTGACTGTAGACTTTCAAAGTAAATGACTATAGCCCGGAGCGACAGAGGTGGCTAAAATACTATCACCTCTGAGCGGCTAAAGTTACATCAAACAAGTCCAATACTTCCTCCCACTCCCCAGTTCAGTTGGTTTTCTATTGTCTGCAACAAAAGAACTTGACACGCTGAATTGGAGGCAGTGATGGATCTCTTTTGAGGTCAGAAGCCTTTGCCGGTCTTCTGGTTTCATCCCAGCCCAGTCAGCCCCTGCATGTGAACACTGTGAAGGTGTGTGGAGCCATACAGAGCCATTGTGGGGAGTAGAAATGAGTGACTGACCGCTAGACCGATAACGCAGCTTTTGTTTGCATTAAATACGATCTGCATTAATCTGAGAGGAAAAAAAGAAAAGCTTAAAGGTGCGAGATTATGCTGAATTGACTCCTGTGAGCTTTTAGTCATGTTGGAATGATTAGAATCTCCGCAAAAACAAACCTAGAGTTGGGTTTTGTTTCATTCACACATGTTTGAGTAATTATTATTAGTCTGTCTGGTGTTTAAAAACACAGTGGAGCACTTTCTGTATTACCGCGTGACATCATAAGTTGGAACAGTGATTTTAGTTTGAGAGAAGAACTAAATATGCAGAGTTTGTGAGTTGAACATGCGAGAATGAAACAAAACACAACTCCAGGTCTGTTTTTGATGCGGAAACAACATTATAACAGATCAGAAAACAGCGTAAAATGGGCCCTTTAAACCACAACTTGAGTGTGTAAAGAAGTAACAATACCGTTTGAGACACACACTGATAACATCCACGAATAATTGACTAAATACATTGTCAAATTACCTGACTGAAAGACTCTTTGTATCGCTGCATGTATTATCTAACAACATGAATATAACTTATCCAGATACTGTATATGCCGCGGAGACACAAAGAAGCCTCTATAATACTGGTATCACTAACTTTATCGCCCGTGGCATTCCTTGCATCATGAGGGATGCCATTCCCACACAGAGGAAACAATGGTTATCAGATCGTTTGCATTATAACTTATTCAGGAATGCTGCGTGAACTGCTTCCTGCTTATTTAAATCCTGTCACGTGAATATATCCAACTCTATTATTTAAAAGAATACATGAGTCAGTAGGATATCAAAACTTTATAAATCGTCATATAATTTGGTTACAGCCGATAGTATTTTCCAGAAGCAAATAAGCAAAGACAGTTGTTAAGTTCTGGTTTTCATTTTTGGATTCAGATCAGTTGTGCGTAACTGGCCACGTTTTACCCTTGGGCCCAGTGTTCAAGAAGACATACATTTATCAGGATAAAATTAGGTTAAAACCATCAGTTACTGTTAAAATGTTTTAGCAGATGGAGAATAATATTAATTGGTGCGACTTGCAGAATGGTGCGTAATTTTGAGGTCTTCCAGTCTCAGACCTTTTCCAAACGCGTCGCAGTAAAAGGGTCAAGCGCCCAGTTAAAACACACAGTGTATAATTTTATAAGCTTTTCCCAATGGGGCTCCTGGAGCCGGGCTTCAGACAACGGCAGGACTGCGCACAGATCAGTTTCAGTCTTTGTCAGCTGTAAGTATGGGCGGAGGAAGCGCACGCATTGTGATCTTATAGAGGGGGGAAAAAAAAACTCTATCCGAGATAATAAAACCTCGCGCTTCGGAGCTGAGCGCTCACTCACAGCTCGACACAGAGAGGGAGAGCTCTGCTGAAGTGACCGTCCCATCCTCTGTCACTCTATGCGCTGTAGCCACACACCGCCTCTGCGCGCCGCATCACCACACTCTGAAAGACCCGCGCGCACCACCTGGACACTGCGAGCGCGCACTGACGAACCACACTTTTGCAGGATATTTCCAAAGAGACTTCATAAACTCAGGTGATTATTTCAGCATTCGGCCCTCAAGGATGCTCGCGCTACAGTGGAATATGTGCTGTGTGCTGTTTTTTCTCTTGGCTTCGCTGAGGACGCACCAGGTGTCAGCGGCGCGACCCAAAGCGAACTCCATCAAACCCGGACAGCTCGGGGAGACGGCCGCTCCCGCCACCAACCACTCCGCCTCTGCGCACGGGAGCATCACCAAGAAACACAACATCCTGACACAGGTAACTCCAGGCAATTTTGGAGGGAGAAAAGCCAAGCGCAATCAGCTCAGTATTTTATTAGCCCACTGACTTCAACTAGGATTTACGACTGTATCTGACATACTTCATTAGATGCGTAATAGCACCTTAATGACCATAACGAAAGCTCTATTAAACCAGAAAACAAACAAACAATATAAATTAAAGCCATATTATAATCCTATAACACAAAATGTCTCAAATTATTATCTAAAAATACAGCTTTTACCTTGATTATAATTATACATTTTGATATCCAGCCTAATTAAGTGAAATTACTCCCAGCTATGTAAAGTGCCCTCATTTATTTGGAGTGCTAATTGTGTTTTAACGACTCAAAATAGCACGATCTTGTTTGAGACATCATAATTATACACAGCCCTGAGCAGCCAGTCAGACTAAAGTGTGCTTAAGCGCTCAGCTGTTAATAACTGCGAAACGCGCCTAGCCCCAAATTTGTACCTTGAGGTGAATAAGTAGCACCATTTTGCCATTTAAAAGCCTTCATTTCACATGTGAAGGGTTATTGGAAATTGCAGGGATTGGTACCCCCTCATAAAGCTTTAATTGCCTTTCAGACCTGACGCCACACCGGGGCAAAGCACACTTCCACCGCACTAAATCATTAATGCCAGGCAGCAATGCGAGAGAAAGTTAACACTAGTCTGGGTGATTTTCTGTCTGGTTCTTAGTGTCATTAAAGAGGACCAGACGTTAGCCCGGATTACGAGAGTCTTTCAGTGGAGGGATACTTTTACCAACCACTTAAAACCACTCAAGCTCTTATAAATCCCTGCTGTTACAACACTCGCAACACGGCCTGGTTTTGACATCAAACATTGGAAAGTGACAATTGTGATTTGCATGTGTGTATGTGTGTAAAATGCAGCTTTGATTTCCAACTTTCTTATAATATTACCAATGAAATAGTGTTTGAGATTTTCTTAAAGGTCCTATATTACGCAGAATTGACTCTTGTGAGCTTTTATCCAAATCATAATGCTGCTATCTTCTCAAAAACAGACCTGGAGTTGTGTTTTTTTTTTCATTCTTTCAACGTACATGTTTGAGGAATCCTTTATTATGAGTCTGTCTACATTTTCAAAGCTCAAAATGCTCTGTTCCACCTTGTGATGTCATGTAGTGGTAGTTTTTTAACATCTTTTTACCCTTAGATCAGTAGAGATAGGCAAATCCAGGGCTGAAATAATCCAGATGATTTTAGTGTGTGGAGTCTAAAAACGCAATGGAGCACTTGACATCACAAGGTGGAACAGAGTGTTTTTTTTTGTTTGTTTGTTTGTTTGAGAGACTAATGAAGCCTAAATATGCAGAGTTTGTTTGTTAAATGTGCAGATGAAACAAAACACAGCTTCAAGTTTGTGACGAGGAAGCAGCATTATAACATAAATCAGAAAATAATGTTTCTGTTGACTTTCATGTGAAGCACTTTGGTCATCTTAAGTTGTTCAAAATGTGCCATATAAATAAACCTGAACTGAATATTGAGCCTTTAACATAGGTGCATTAAATATTAAAGTGCACAGTGTAACTTTTCTCGCAAGGGGTCTGCAATTTGGCATTAAACTTATCGAGAATTTATTTAGTTACAGGTGCTTTTTTTGCTCAAAAAAACATGTAGACTTGCCTCTGCACAGATCTGACCTGTCACTTGGCTGCTTGTCGCCATGGAGATATATGTTTAATGTCATATTGTGGGACCTGCAGGTTACGCAGGTGCAACTTTAGATCCACTGGAGAAACACTGACTGTAGGGGAGAAAGTTTAAACCTGATCTTGGAGACGTTTCAAGTACTGTCCCTGCTTTAGTGGTGATGTTCAGGTGGTAACGGGAAGGGCATCTGGCATAAAAGTGTAATATTGTCTTGTTATATGGATAAAAAAAAGTGTCTTACTCAAAAACAACCACAGTGTCCAAGAGGATGGGGTTCAGAGTGATGAAAAAGTGGAATTGTTGCCAAAGCACTGCTCAGTTAAAAAAACAATATTCTGTAGTTACTTAGAATGGTCAAAAGTCCTCAAAATGGTGCCTATGTCAGGAATTTGAAGTACATGGAATCAAAGTTTTGGACCACCTGTTTATATACTTTTGAAAGACACATTTAAACTTTTTTTTCCACTTTTGTTTCACTTTTGTCTTGCCCAAAAGTTGTCTGAGCAGCCTTTTATCCCTTTAATAGAATATATATGTAGTGTCCAGCAGGAAAAGTACAGATAAAGGAGTAAAAGTAAAAGTATCACATGAAAAAATCAACTTAAGTAAAAGTAATGAAGTAGCTTTTAAAAAATGTACTGAACGAGTTAAAAGTAAAAGTATTTCGCCCGGATTTGGACATCTATAAAAGCTTCAAATGTAGTGATTTTGACACAGAGTCTGACATTTCTTTCCAAGTTGTTTTTAGTTGTATGTTTTTGTTTGCTCATATTACAATAAATCTCTCAGACAATCATGAAAATCATAAAAATTACTTTTCATTCCTGTTCAAAAATGCATGGAATAAAAAGTACAGATACCTTCTCTCAAATTTAGTGAAGTCAAGAGTATCCAGTTTAAAGTCTACTTCAAAAGCAAAGTACAGAGACCTAAAATTTATGCTTAAAGGTGCACTATGTAACTTTTTGGTTGGGTGTTTCTATGGATATATCGCTCTACTGCCTGGAATGTTCCACAGTGTGTCATTAAGCAGCTTTTCTTTACATTTATTCAATTACAGGTGGTTTTGTAGCTCAAAAATGCATAGAAAAAAGGCATTCTGACTGTAAGTGAGGTCGCCTTTCCACAGATCTGACTTGTAACTTGGTCTGGTTTGGGCTCCATGATGATAGAAAGGTTTAATGCCATGCTGTGGAACATTCCAAAAAGCAATAACATCTTCACAGAGAAAAGCATTCAGCAGATTCTCCACCAGAAAAGTTACACAATGCACTTTTAAGAACAATTTAGACTTTGTTACACTCCATCACAGTTGTCAGCCGCATGTTTTCTCTGTATGTGGTCACACTGGTGTCAGATTGACTGTGTTATGTGTGAAGTGCATTCTAACATTGAACTCAAACCTCAATAATGATGGAGAGCCTTTTTTTCTCCTCCTCCGCCAACCCAGCGGCCAAACTGCCAGACCCCAGCACAGCTACACACAACTGCAATTATAATCTACAGCGGTTTGGGGCTGAAGGAAACACAATGCGCAAGGACCACGCACTGTTCTAATGTGTGAATCCACTGTGTATGCTGGTGGTGGCCAGATGAAGATGGCTAATTTCATTTATTGTGTGTGCGTGAATCTGTCATGTTCTGGCTGCCAGATTTTCTCATGTTGTGAAATCGCTGCTACGGCCTTGGCCTTGGCATAAATGAGACCACGGTGGAGAGAGGTGCGTGCTTCCTCACTGGTTTATCATACAGTACAGTGAACAGTTGTGTATAATTTAGTAGCTCTGTGCAAGTGGCATCTGGCATAAAAAATGTAAGTTATACGGATAAGTGAAGTGTCTTACTCAAAAACACAAAAAACACAAACCACAGTGTCCATGGGGTAGCCAGGCTGGCGCCACCTAGTGCCTCCACTCAATTTCATTTCTCTCCAGCAACTAGGCCAGGAATTGGAATACACTAGATGGTTTGCAAGAATCCTGGAAGTCGTAGACCGTGCACCGGGCAATCAGAGAAGAGCTGTGAAGCCATGACATCAAACTCAAGCGCCTGTCTGGGTCCCTTTCGTGGAACAGCAGAACAGTAAACAAAGCAGTCGAGATGGATGCAGACGAAGACATACATTCTGTGTTGGCAACGATTCCCGAGATCGAGGATTTAAAACCGAAACAAAAAGAATGTTTGGTGAATTTTATCAAGGAGAAAGACGTTATTGCCCTTCTTCCTATGGGATTTGGCGCATTACATACGCCACGACCAAATAGCAGCGACTGGTTAAATAAAAAAAAGTACCCGCCTACCATCAAGCAAATGAATCCTAATGCTGCGAGGCCAGACGGTTCCATAAAGTGAAACCGGCTGATGAATCAGGCTATCCATTACACAAAATTGACACTTGTGAGCGTTAAGCCATGTTATAATGTTGTTACCTCATCAAAAACATACCCGGAGTTGTATTTTTTTCATTCACACATTTGAGTAATCCTGCATAATTAGTCTGTCTGCATCTTCAAAGCTGAAAAAGCTCTGTTCCACCATGTGATGTCATGAAGTGTTAGTTTTGAAGTTGAGACTGGCAATTCCAGGGCTGAAATTATCCAGGTGATTCTAGTCTAAGGTGTCCATCCATCCATTTCCTTCTGCTTATCTGGGACTGGGTCATGAGGGCAGCAATTGAAGCAGGGACTCCCAGACTTCCTTCACTCCAGACTCCTCAGGGGGACCCCAAGGTGCTCTCAGGCCAGCCCAGAAACATAGTCCCACATAGTCTAAGGTGTATGGAGTTTAAAAACACACTGGAGCACTTCCTGTTATCACTACATGACAACACAAGTACTCTTGAATATGCTTGAAATAGAGTAATGGTCATGTTATGGTCAAAAGTCCTCAAAATGGCACTTAGAACAGGAATTTAAAATGTGTGAAAATAGAATCAAACTTTTGGACCTCTTCTTTTTAGTTAACACTTACGAGCAAATGTTGTCATAATAAGGGCAATTATTTGTTATGAGAATTTGAGAAGTGCTTTAGGACTGTTATCTCTTCATCAACTCATGCAGTGCACTTTTGTTCATGATAAACGGCTCATATTATGCCAAGTTCTAATACTGTTTCCTCATCCAAGACATACCTGGAGTTGGAGTTCTTTCAAACAGAAACTTCTGATGTCATGTGGTAATACAGAAAGTTCTCCACTGGGTTTTTAAACTCCATACACCTTCACTAGAATAATTTGGATAATTTTAGCTCTGAAATTGCCGAGCTCTACTAAAAAAAATGGTCGCTGTGATCTTCCAAACTACAAGGT